GACTCTTTTTCCTTCGTCTCCCACTGATAGTCACACATTTGGGCAGTGGCAGTGAACCAAACTGTCGCCTGGGTTGCTACGGGTGACTGGAGAGCTGACTTTTGGGCTCTGAGGCAAACGAGCACATGACAGATTAGTGTGTGGGCCTCCTCCAGGCTTCCACCTCTGTGACCCTTAGGAGCCCCCTCTTTACCCCCTCCTCAACCTTGCTCTTACTCCTAAACACCCCCCCCTTCCCTCCACCTCTTTTGTCTCCACCCTCTCTTCATCCAATCTCACACAACAACCTAAGGAGGTGAAAAGCAAACAGATTTTCAAAGTACAACACTGACACAAAGTTGCTTCTTTCAAATTTTTTTGCTTTAAAATTCAATATATATATATATATATATATATATATATTGTGCCATGCATACTTGAAAGATAAAGTGGGTACCAGCAAATATGGAATAAACAGCTTTCAGCAGTTTAATGTAAATAGAAATGCTATGGTATTTCAAACTGTTTGCAGATGTGTGTCTCCACCAGTTAAATACTGCTTGTACTGGAACAACACACAAGGATTAGAAGGACTAGAGGAGCTTAAACAAAACTGGGGATACTACAGAGCTGACTGTTTAGTCTACTCAAACAACATGCCCTCTCTTTTTGAGGGATGGACTTGTACACTTGTTTATCGCATGGGACAAACATCCGTTGCCAGGGTTTGGCCTTGCCTGCGCCCATGTCTTGTGAATGACCCTAGTTGGCTCTTTTATGTGCATCTATAAAGGGCGGTCGAGGGCTTGACCTGGCGATGACACCCTGTTGTCATGGAGACTAATGCTATGTTAGGCTGGGATTGGCAGGGGGTAGGGGAGTGGTAGCCACTGTCACTAGTGTCTAATGATGTTTGATGCACAATGCACTCATCTCCTCACAAAGTGTGATGTGTCCTCACTCTGGTTAACACCTGTATATTAACAGGGCATCTTTTGAGCTCTACTGTGAGTGTTTCCATGTATATAAGGATAGCACAATAATCAATTCAGTCAAAAAACTGTTCATGTGTCAATACTCACATTGGTATCACATTTGAGAGAATAAAAGACAATGTACTGCAATAATCACTATATTCAAATACCATCTAATCATCTGTAAACATATTTCATCTGAACGCACAGTTTTACTGCTCACAGTCCAAGGACTTTCCGAATGACCAAGGGATATATCACTTCCCTTTCAAGAAGCCCATGGGACCAATACACCTGGCTTAGCAGCTTAACAGAATTTCCCCCAAACACCCAGGCCAAAGGGTGGCCCAGCACAAAACCTGAGACGCTTGATGCTTGAAAGGGCTACCTCCTTACTTATCTGACTGACCACTCTCCCTCTCTCACTCAATCCCTCCCTTCCACATTTCTAGCTAACACATACACACGTGTGCAAACTCTCAGGGCTGGTTTGCTCCTGAGGTCCCTTATTTATTTTCATAGGTGTTTGAGGGTTTACACTAGTCAAAAGACAAGGCCAGAGCCTAGAGTGGTATCTTTGGATTTGAGTGTTTCCTGTTTTCATTGCAAGGCCGACCCTTGTCTTTACAGGGGTGAGCAAGGGCTAGCAGGGGGTAAGAGGGACGGAAGGCCAGGGGCGCCAAGGGGCTAATTGTAGATTTTAGAGTTTTCTTTTGCCAAACAAAAGGGCATCACCTTGTGCAACAATAAGAGAAAACTATGTTTCTCTGTCTGCCACCCTCTCTTTCCACCTCTCTTCTTCTATCTTAGTTTCCCTCTATCTACCTATCCTTCTGCATCGCTCCCTCTTGCTTTCCTGGATTTTGTAGTCCATGCGTTTGAAGTGCAGTAGAACATTTTACCCCTAACAGTGAAGTTTACCTTTCTGATAACATAATCTCCCTGTAGTATTGAAAAGCTTATACCAACAGTCTGGGATTTTCCTTCTCCTAATGTGGCTGGAAGACATCCAGAAACTCATGGGGAGGGAGAGGGAGGTATTAGAGAAAGAGAGAAAGAGTGGGAGGGAGGACAGAAGGAGGGAGTGGAGAGACAGTCTGACCCTCTTCTGCCAGCTAACACCAGCTGATCTGTCCAGCCATTTGCCAATTACATATGGGGCATTTAGCGTTGCCAGCTCACGTGCTCTCTAGTGCATGTGTATACGGGTACAACATAAAAGAGGTCAGGGTTATCACAGCTTCTCCGTGGAGTAATTGTGGAATCTGCATATTTTGTGAGATCTTTATGATGAAACAAAACTGTATTTTCCTCTCCGCTGGAATGTTGGCATGTTATGATTGATGGTAAATAAGAGTTGAAAATGAGGTTACTTTCTATATGTGACTGTCCTGAAGAAAACAATCTTGTGATTTCTCCCAAGAGGGTGTGAGGTCAGAGTAAAGCAAGGGAGGGTGGGAGGGGAGAGGGAGAGGGCAATTTTGTTATACTGAATCCAAAAGCCAACAGTTGTTACTATTGGCCTGTGTTGTTTTTCTTTTGAAAAGGGGGGGTCCAGGTGCCTTTTGAGCTTTTCAGAAGATGTGACAATGGTTGGATGTTGAGAACATATGTAGAGAGACCCCTGTGGCTCATGGAAGAGGAGCTCCATGCTGGCCCCGCAGTTTGAGAAAATACAAGGCCGCTCCTTTCACTCCTAACCCCTCAGTTAATGAATGCATGAATGGCAGAATGCCGCTATAGGCCATTCAGGGGCCAAAGTCCCCAAGAATTCACCCTTGCACAAACGCATCCCGCAATAGCAAATACATTTGCTTAACAAATTAAAAGAAAGGAGAATGGCTAATGGGTGTGAGTGTGTGTGTATGTGTGTATGTGTGTGTGTGAGAGAGAGTTTATGGGTGGGAGAATTGGATGGTGAGAAGAGAAGGGGGATAATTCAATTAGTCCTCTTCCTCAGTAGAGAAATGAAGGCAGGTTAAAAGGGAGGGATTATTATTTGTACAAGACTGGCCAGGGCTTTACACAAAAGAAACAAATAAAGATTGGAGAGAACATCTATAAGCAGGGGATGTGATAAAGGAGAGAGAGAGAGAGAAAAAGAGGGCCTTGAAAGCTCTGCTCTGTCTGAATTAACCAGCTCTCTGAAAAATACGCCTGTGCCCAACATTGGGCTTTCCCCCTCCTTTCCTTTCCACTCTTTCAATTCAATTTTAAAACAATTCTAAAGAAAATTGCTTGCGACTCTTCCAAAAGCTCTGTATGCTTCATTCTGTCTTTCTCTTTGCATCTTTTGCAGAAGAGTGTTAAAGCTGTGTGAGGCTTTCACCAGGAAAGATGCCAAATCATGAGGATTTTTGTTTAAACTCAGATAAGGTGTGTTCCTGTATTTTGTGCATGCAAATATAAACATACAGTAAATTCAACTTCAATAAAACCTTTAGCCTTTTTTGTTAGTCCCCTTCATATACAAACAAGATATTCTACTCCAAGCTCAGGGAGCGGCAAAGACCTAAAGCAGAAAAAGAATTTCTCTCAAATAATTAAAACAAAAAGTTTAGCCCCCCCCTCCCGCCCTCAGCCTTTGAATGAAGCTTGGTCTGTATGGTTTGGTGAGAGGTCTCCAGTCAGGGAGCGATGGAGCTGTGAACAGCTGTGAAGTCATTTTGATAATGATGAGAATAATAAGCATGCAGACTGGCGTGGTGGAGCCGCTAAGGCCTGCGAGGCTCAGGGCTTTGCTGTTGCAGCTTCACTGCTCCTGAATAGATAAAAGTGATTAAAGCACTCCTGATTATCCCTGACCAATATGTAATGGATTTACAGCCCTTTCAATTAGGCTGTATTTGCTGGCCACACATTACTTGGGCTTTTGGTTAGGTAATCAGGGTACAGGGGCTTTGGGTAAGGAGAGGGCACTGGTAAAGTGTGGGGGTGGAGGATGTGTGGATGATCCATAAGGCTGAAGCTTTAAACTAACTCTCTTCTACTTTCTCTCTCTCTTCTTTTACTTCCTTCCCCCTACATTGTCCGTCCGTCTCTGGGACAGAGAGCCACGTGCTCAGAGAGCAGCTTATGTGTCGTGGTGTGGCCACCTCCTCCTGAAATCTGACCTGCGTTGCAAAATCAATACAGCCTGATGTTCTGATAATGTCCTGACATTAGTGAGGGTGAGGGGACATGTGGTCCATCCCCTTATACTTGACACACACAGATAGACAGACAGAACAGCAGACTGACACGCGCAGAAAACAGCCAAGTATTTAATTATTTTACAAGGTATGTTTGAATTACTGTGGCATTTGAATATTTAATCCAAGCCATGTAGCATCACTGTGCTTAGTGAAGTGAATGAGTTGTCTGACTGAACTGTTGGGCAAACAATTTCCTCTCAGCTGTAGAGGAGAATTAGCATGTATCATCTCAGTCTCAAGCATTAGATAGAATATCACCATATCCACCAAATTTAAAAAAGTAAAACTGATCAAGAGGTCAATAGATTAAGTCAGTGCTCATTCCAAAGACATGCCAGACAATATTTGTATCCATAACCATCTATACACCTACACAGGAGCTAATGTAAAAATAAAAAAAATATTATTTTACAAGTTATCAGTATACTCATCCTAAATCTTTACACACCTTTAGACTCACAATCCTTCTCCTGTAACTACCACTGCTTCTCTTAATCTGCACCAGAAAAACATTCTTCTTCAGGCCAAACAGTGCATCTCATATTGGAGTAAATGTCATGGATTGTTGAGCCATCCCCCTCTTACTCAGAGTGTGCTGAGCACAGTAAACAGTCCAAACTGATTAGATTGACCTGGTCACTGTGTCCCTTTGACAGGTGGCTGACAGGTGAGCATCACAGCACTACCGTCACTCACTCCCCCAGTAACAACTATGTGACAGGTGTGTGTGTGTGTGTGTGTGTGTATGTTTGTGGGCTTGAGAATGTCTTTTGAGAGTGAGTGTATGTGTGTGTGTTTCTACCTGGGTTGTTTTCATACATGTGTATCTCCAAAAAGTAATGCTTGCGCTTACCGTGAGATGCTGGAACAGCCACGCCCTCATGATGTTAGTGGCCACCTTGGGGAAAATGCCACGCTTTTTCTGCCTCTTCTTATCCTTGTCTGGATCATCGTCATCCCCTGTGCCAGGTGATGCAACGCTGTTGTCTAAGCCATCTCCTGGACGGAAACCAAACCCAGGGTTAAATAACAGACAAAATCCCAGACCACATTACTGACTCAGAATACAATAAATCTAAAAATTCTCAAAGCTGAATCAGACGTACAGAGAGTCAAAGCTGAGTTTAAGGTTCATGAAAGATGGATAAATGGACAAATACCACAGATACCTAAGACCGAATTCAAAAGCACTACACTGAGGCCTAGAGAATCGCTGCAGCAAAGCCAGTGTTGTGTAGCAAAGATATTGAGGTTGGGGGATTTAGATGGCCTTAGACGAAGGCCTGTACAGAGAGTGAGGGGTTTACACAGAGGCCTAGCAGAGTTGTTCTATACCCCAGAGCATGGGAGAGGGGAATAGGGGTTAATGACTGTAATGTTATGGTTGGACACTGAAACACTAGGTTCCTCGTTCCAGCTCTACAGTAGGAGGAGGAGGAAAGAAAAAAATGGAGCGAGATGACAAAAAAAGGACAAGGAGCCTTCGCGTACAGTAGAGGCTTGGACTCATGTCATTAATTCAATTAAATTTGCATGCTTGACATAATGTGGAGCATTTTTTTCATCTTATGAAGAGAGCCAAAGGGGACAGGAAGGAGTTATGCAGACATATACAGTAATATACAGACATTCGTGCATTCACAGACACATTCTCACATACAAACAAAACTCAAAGGCGCTGATAGTTCACGGCATCCAGTTGAGACGCATGAGCATTAAAGTAGGGATTTGATTTGGGGGTGGTTTCATTGTTGCACTTTGATGCACATAATGGACTTGTCTGCTACCCCCAAGCCCACCCCACCCCAAACCCCAAGTCTCTTAGTCCTCCTCTCCCACTCCCTTTCCTTCCCTTGCAGCAACCCCTCCCCATTCTGCCACAAGATTAGCATGACAGGCCAGCGGCGGCTTTGCCTGCATTAATGTCCGTCAGCGTTTGATTTCAAGAGGAAAACATGCACATACCGAGGCACGATTTCTCCTTTAAATTGAAGTTTCCATCTTTGTCCCTTGCCTTTTTCTTGTTCCTCTTCACCGGCATTAATTGTGCATTAGCAAAAATGATTTACTTTTAACAGTCATAGTTATTTTTTCTTGCCCCCGGGCACAAATGCCTTGAAAGCCTTCCTTGAGGGCATCTAAATTATGTATCTGAAAAACTCCTCCACTAAGGCAGGGAAGGACCCTGACGTTCTCAAAATTCAGACTCGCATGTCCTCCTGTTTTTGGGGAGGCATCAATCACAACCACCTATACAAGCCTTAATCTTGCATAAATATTTGAACTAATAACATTAAAAAGGAGGAAAGAAAAAGGATCCGACTGGTGGCGTAATCAAATGCAAAATAAATGAAGAATACAAGGACAGCAGGGGCCCTCACTTCTAACTACTTTCCCCACTTTCTTTTCCTTTTTCCTCCCCCTTGTTTTTCCCTCTCTTTTTTGTTCTCTCTCTGTCTTTCTTTTCTTTCAGAGCACAGTGTTTTCCTTCCACATCATTAGTGCAGAGCCACACGAAAGAGGAAAACAGAGAAGTGCCGACTTTGCGCTCCCTGTGTGAAGTTGGAGAAGCAACGGCCCTTCTGAAGGACATATGGGAATCGGGACACAGACTAGGGGTGTTGTAATTGTAGAATGGGCATTCATTAGTGGCAAATGCCGTAAATCCCAGGCTAAGTACGAATCCTTGTTCAGGAAAGCCTAAAACAATAAACTTTGGTCTGGCCATAGCCCTACCCTGACTGTGAGGGGTTTCCTGAGAAATGCGACCCAGGCGGAAGTCAAGTCTAACTCCCCCAGTTTGCTTTCAAACTTCAATAAAAACACAACTACTGAGCTGTGAATTTTAACCACCCTCCTCTTGTTTCTCTGCTTTTGAGCTTCACTGAATAATGTTGATACAGAGTTTGGTTGTTTGTTTGTGTGCCGCTAGGTTTTGTGTTGATTTTCGAGCTAGTCTCCAAATCCCTCTCCTGCTGTGAGCAGTCAGGCTCATCCAATGGAACCACACAGTGGCCAAAAGGCTGGCAGATTAATTTTATTGACGTTTCCATTTTCACTGCAATGCGATAGCCTCCCCCCTGGCCAGGGCCAGAGCAACCCGTGCGTATTTACAGACTGACCTGTCACTTCATTACCCAGCATGCTCGCTGCCTCCTGCCCTAGCCCGCAAGGGTGAAACAAGACTCCAAGGCTTTCGGCTCCTCTCTCCTTCTGTCTTTCTCTCACATGCACATGGATACTGTCGTGTGTACACAGATCAGATCGAATTTTGTGTACAGTATTAATAGTTGTTTTTGACTTACTATATACATGCAGACATACTTCTAATCTAAATATAGAATGAAGGGAAAATCAACACAAAGGTGAAAAGAAAGAAAGAAGAGGAACAAGGAGAAGCAGGAGGAAGAAAAGAAGGAGTAGAAAAAGAATAAAGAAGACCCAACTTGCACAACCTCATTACATCTAAAGGAGAGCTGGTGCTTTGCATCCACCCCCACTCCTTTCTTATGAGCGAGAGAAGGAACGCTGCAGGGCAAATTGTCCCAAACGCTAATGGCTTCTGACTGTTCCCTGGCAACTCTGCCATTCTAACCTGTGTGGATGTGCACTCTGAAAAAAAATGGGGAAAGGAAAAAAAAAAGTGCAGGGCAGAGCAGGGGGAAGCGTCCCATCATCTGGCCATGTGACACAGATGGGGGTTGGCTATTAGGAGGCAGCCGAAAGGCCTAGGGGAGCCGAGGTGCTGGAGTGTAGCCCCAGGCACTTTTGGAAAAGCAGCGCCCTTGGAGACGGAAAAAAGACAGCCCCCCCCCTCCCTCTCCCCACTCTCTTTCTGTCTTCCCTCACTCTTTGCTTCTCTCCTTCTTCCTCACCCACTCTATCAATATCTTGACTTAAAGTGCTTGCAGTAAAAGTTTGTGCATATTTTCATATGCATAGAAAGCAAGACGGTCTAATCAGGCATGATGGAAGACAGTGACCAGACGCAATGAGGGTGAGAGAGTGAATGAAAACACTAGCAAACAAACAAGCACAAGTCCAAGAGCACATTACGCTCACATACATTCCCTCTCTCATCACCAGTGGGTGGTTATTAAAAATGCATTCAGATATATCTCCCTGTGAGTAAATTGGTCTCAGGGCTGAGCTCATTAACGGGTTGGGAGAGGACTGTAAACACACTGCAACTCTGCTTATCTAATGTTGGCACATTCAGGGTCACTTCAGGATTGCATGCACAAAGAACTGGTTTAGCACAAAGTGTCCTACAGTCTCCGCAGAGAGTAAGGGGGAATTCAGGGGAGTCCTAATGACTCTGGAGATCATGCTTCATGTCTAGGAGGCACCCTGCTCCTCGGGGAGCCACTAAGGTCTAGTCAGCCCTGGAAGCATTATGAATATAGCCATGAGTAACACATATAGAAAACCAAGAATGCCTTCCCTTTGCTGCTCTACCATTCCGATATACCCATGCATGAATGAATAATGACTTGTCAATAGTTGGAAAACATTCAAACCCAGTCATGGTTAGTTATCAAATAACACTCCAGACTTATTGGTCCCTATACTATTATTAATACACCTACTGAAAAGCCTCTAGACAAGAATTAGATGTTGTGTGTGTATTATTCTAAAGGCTGTGCAGTGATTTTGCACTGGGAGGCCCCGGCATTTGTTTCAGGGTAATGAAGCAAGAGTGTAGAGGCAGTGGCTTATGGAAGCTGTGGTTAAAGTGACTAATTACAACAGACCCCCCAAGCCCCCTGTCAGCCCAAACTAGTCAGGCATGTTCACCCAAGCTCACCCAAATGAGAAGAAGAGAGAAACACATGAGGAAAGTTAGAAGGAAGAAGGAGTAGACAGAGAACAGAAGCTAAGGGGTTTGTTGTACCAGGAGCTCCTTTGGCCTTCTCTACCTTAGCACACCATAGTGACCGGGCCCTCCAACCCTCCCTCCAACACCCTCCTATTACACCACCTCTAGCCCTGCAGGCTTGGCCGCAGAGAATGAAGAGAAAAGAAGAGGGGGATTTAGAGCCTCCCTTTTCCCTCTTTTTCTCCTCAACTTTTCAGCCAACATAAGCGGCGTTTAGCACATTCAGTCCCCCAAATGGCAGCGAATGAGAGAAGCAGTGGGGGCTCCTCTTTTGTCCGTCTGGTTACCCCTTTTATTTACTCTGGATTTACGAAGGGGTCTTTGCCGGCTCTGGGACCACATGCTCTTGACGCACACACAATCTCTCTCCCATACACACATACACAAACACGTACCAGCTCTATTCACACTAGTGGAATGGCGGCCCTCTGTTGCTCTGTGCTGACTGGGGATTACAGGTCTGCTGGCTATACCCGCATGCTAGCAATATGCTTCGCACTCACATAACATATCACACAGACGAGTGCTAACGAGTAGAAGGTAATCCCTTTAATGATAAAACATACACTTGAGTGTCCAATTTCTAACAGAAAGTAATCTATCAGTGTGTTTGTGTGTCTTTGTGTGACCACACCATATGTTTTACTGCGCTCACTCAGATCCATACAGTAGATGAGGGCTCTAAACAGAACTGTTTTAGTGTGGCTGCACCACTGCAGCCAGTGTTTTACGCTGATTATTTCCTGATCTGTGCTTAAACAAGCAGCAGCCCCTTGCACTGGACCATAAAACAACAGCTTAGTAAACAGCAAGCATGCTGACAAATTGGTAGCGCTCAGGCCGGAGTCATTAACAGCCCTAAAAGCTGTCAGAGCAATTACAACAAACTCTCTCCTTCAGCAAGTCTCCCTGCCAAACTCAGATGTCACTACCCGCCTCCTCTTTTACTGCCACCTCTTACCACCAGGACACTGGCTAAAGGTGAAGGAGAGAAAGCTACCACATTTTCCTCTGTCCTCCAATAGCCATGACACCCCGGAGAAATGAGGACAAAACTCCATCTCAAACACAGCTGTATCTGCATCCTGAGTGCTACGACTGAGTGGTTCCTTTTGCATGA